CTGTAGATCTAGTGCTGTAAGTGGACACCAGGGTCAAGCGCTTGAGGGACAGTTGGGCTGCTGACCAGGCAGAGGTGGACAGTGGGTCAGTGATGAGGATGAAGCGGCTCTCTGAAACGCTGTGATGAAGCTCTCCACGGCAGTCGCTGGGGTCTGGCCCTTGTGTGGTGAGTCACCTGTTTCCGATTCAGGCGGGCTGGTACTCTGCGGGGGATCGAGGCGAAGGCGCCCCCTCTGCGGGCCGACTGGGGGCGCGGACGTCGGGGGACGGGGGCTGGGGGGCCCGCCCTGACCCCGGTTCGCCTCCCGCGGTACCCGTGGCGCCGAGCGATGGCCTCCATCTTGGCCAGGCGGTCCGTGAGCTCCACCACGCGGCGCTGCAGCAGCGTGACCTCTCTGAACAGGTCGCTCAGACTCTCGGAGAGAGGGCGCACCCTGCAGGACACACGGGGAACTGCGCTCACTCCTGCTGCACCGGCCTGTCCAGCCTGAGTGACTCCTCACTGCTCTCATCTCTCTGGGCTACAGTGTCACACGGCTGTATTACCTGGAGTAGTCGGGCAGCTTTGAATTGGGCTGTACTGGGCTACAGTGTCACACGGCTGTATTACCTGGAGTAGTTGGGCAGCACTGAATTGGGCTGTACTGGGCTACAGTGTCACAAGGCTGTATTACCTGGAGTAGTCGGGCAGCACTGAATTGGGCTGGCTGTGCAGGAGGTTCTTGACTTCAGTGAAGATCCGGTTCCCCCAGTGATCCAGAAGCCGGGTTACACTGCGGACCGTGTTCACATTCACTCTGTCCGCTGACAGGGAGAGAGGGGGGTCACAACACTACAGTGATTAGCAGTAACAAAACAGAGGTAGAGTGGTAGTATAAGTATGACTAAGACACTCACCTCCTTCTCTGTAGTTCCAATACCCATAATCCAGCTCATTATCCTCTCCAGCCAATGGGGTCATGAGTGTCACGGCAACAGCTAACAGCATCACTAGAGGTGGAGACATGTTCTTGAAGCCACACCCACCAACTGTATATGAAAGAAACAGGAAAATAATGAGTGAATGACTGGACACTCCACACTCCAGTACATGAACACTGCACTGAGAGAGAGAGAGAGG